GTACATCCTCTAAGTTAATGTGCCATCTCGATCTTGAGTATTTCCTACTTAAAGTTGTCTGAAATAGTTCATTTGCTTCACTATTCTATTTTAAAGTGAAATTACTTCTTGTAACAAAATTCATGTAGTAAACAGCCCACCGATTTAGCCTAATTTTGAGTCCTGACCCCAGAACTTAACTTAGGTTAGTAACTTCTGGTAAGTTACTTCTTTGAGCCTCAGTTTCCATATCTATAAAGTGAAGGTAACATTAGCTACCTCATAGGATTAATAAATAATATTAACTATATGTAAAGATATGTCACAGAGTGGACATTTATAATACTTTTAAATATAGAATGAAGCCAAAACATTTAAAAATTAAGTGATGTTGCTTGCATGAATTTGTGTTCCAAGCCTTGAAATTTATAATAGGTCTCTGGAAATGGTTAGGTCGAGTGTCCTATAGAAGTTTCTGGTGGCCATGGGATTATTTATGACATCATGTAAAGTTAAAAGAACTAGAATACCAGAGTGAGGAGAAAAAGAGAGAGAAAAGTGAACAACTTTGCTTTTGGAGAAGTTCGTAAAGTATTTTCTGATAACAATGGCAATAAAAATGAATTTTTTGTATAATGTTTTCATAACTTACCAAGTTTTTCACATAATTCTTTAAAATTTCATGTCCATACTATTTTAGGTACCTTTATTGTATTAATATTAGGGGAAAAAAAAGAATAAAAGGAAAACTCAAAGATGGCCAATATTTTGGAGCTTATATAGCTAACTGTGAGGATGGAAATTCATATTAAGTTTTTAACTTTAAATCTTACACTCTTTCTTCTTCAGCATGCTTGTTCCATTATTAGCAGTTGTGTTTCTGAGGCAGGGGTGTATTTCAGAATCTCTAGGGATGGAGCCCGGGTGTATGTAATTTATTTTCTTCTGTGTTGAGACAGAATGCATACCCAAGTGATTCTGGTGCCCACCTCTGGTTAGAAATCATTGGTCTCTTCCTGGTTGAATTCTTCTTTACCTAAATTAATGCTTGCATCATATGAATAAGACAGAAGAATTAGCGTGATAAGCAATACACTGGTTTAACTTTCAGTGTTCCAAATGTTTAAGTAGGACACCAGCAACGATTGAAAAAGCAACACAGATTTACTTTCCTCTTCACTATCTTTAGTGCTTGTCCATTTGTCAGTGCTTGTGGAGAGCGGGAATCCAGACTAGCTCGCTGTGAAGTGAAATCTATTAGTGTTCCCTCCTCTGATAAGAACTTTGGCTAGTTAGTAGCCTGCCCTCAATGTATTGCAGTTGTAAACTGTTGACTCCTTATTGCTTATAGTAGGAAAACATTTATGAATGTTTTCAATTGACTGGCTAAAGATTTTTATCAGTCTTTTCCCAGCTGTCTTGAAGATGCTTCAGTATCCTGGATTTAGTGGTTTTTCCCAGCCGTATATAATTTGAATGTTTCACAACTTTTCCTTTGAATGAGAGGACAGTGTCATAATGGAGAGGGAAAAGGGAATATTCTAGCAAACTCCCACATAGGCAAAAATAAATCATGTTGCATAGTGAATTTTAAAAATGAAAGACATTTTCGAACATAAAAAGACAGATTTTTATGGGAAGTGACATTTTCAAATTTGAAAATTAGGCATTTGCTATTTGAGACCATAAATAAAGTTTTTCAGTGAGTGAACTGTGTTTTGACTCAGTTGCTTATCAAAATGCAGTTGGATAGTGGCATTGTTAACGTTAGCTTTTAACGTTTTCTGAGTAGAGATCATTTCACTAGAAGCTATTTACAGTAGATATTGGCTGCTTCTGCATTGAAATTTGCTTGGGATGTTCTTGTATATAGGTGTACCTTTCTTAACGTAGAAAATGAAGTTCTGATTATTTTTCATGACTGTGGCTTAGGGAGCTTATGATTAAATGGCTGACTTTAATATGGCAGTTTAGATTAAACTGAAATGATTTTCTTAACTTAGTACCTGCAAAGCATAACATTATATTCTTTAAATAAATACCATTATGTTAATTATATGCAGATTATATTTGTGTTGTACTGTAAATAAATTCACTTAAAAACAGGATGAAACCAAGGCCGTCAAGATATTAAAATTTTTTCAACTCAAAGATTGATTTTTAAAAACCTATTGTAAGAATTGAGACTTGGTCGTAAGTCACCATAAAAGTATTGTTAAGACAGCTATTTTTCTGTGAACAATGCATTCAGAAGCTTGTACTTGATGGATTTCGCGTTTTCACTTGGTATTGACAATCTGTTACCTAGTAGTGTATGGCAAAAATAAGGCAATACTTTTTCTTTATTTTTTAAAAGCTGGCCTGTCTTATTTTCTTAATTTAAGATAATTGAGATTATACGGTTCATATTTACTTAAATCTAGAAGCAGTGTTAATGTATTCCAAAAGGTAGAAAACATGATACCATATTTCACCAATTCTAAGACACACTTCCTTTTCTTACTTTAACTGCCCTGGAAAATGAGACGTATCTTAAAATTGGTTTGTGTCGTTTTAATGGTGGTATTTTTTTTCTTACTTGCTCATGTGTAAACGAACGGTACATGTTATAATCATTGATGTTTTAGGCTTGGTAAAAAGTGATCACTGATGTTTTGAAGTTTGTTGTAGAACTTAGACTCATTGTTACGATGCCGTATGTCTTTGTAGTGGAAGAAATCTATGCTGTGACTATACCATATTATGTGGAGTTACAGACCTTTACTAAGACCTCTTCCTGTTTCCTTCACATCCACTCATTGCTATCACCCTAGTGTCAAATGGCACAACTAAAACAATTTAATAGTGAGTTTGATGTACTTTATTCAAGAGAAAACAATGCATGGATTGAGGGAGTATGGTACATCACAAGCACTGCCCAAGGTATTTTCTTACAGGATGTTGGAGGAGACAGCACTGAAACAGGGCACGACTGGCTAACAGGGTCCTCTTGCCTAGGGTAATATAAGCTAGCTAAAGCCAAGTTGGAAGACTGTGACTGGTGTTAAGTTGCCTTGACAGTGAGGTGTTTTCCATAAGTGCAGGATGATGTGGGTTTAGATTTGTGACATGGGTGGGGCCAACTGGAGTGGCCTCATTTTGTGTGTCCCAGTGTACCGATCAACAGTCACTAGTTAGGTTTTTTACATCACACTGGTTTCCTATCTGTGGAAAGCCAGCCAGAACAATAACAGCAAAATGGAGACCAAGAAAAGGAGGAAAGACTTGGGGTCAGGGTTGGGGTGTGTAGAGTGGAGGTAGGGATGGGACCTCCAGGGTGAAGAAGAGAAAACTGGGGATAGCACATTAGGGCGCGTGTTAATGAGCAAGCAGCATTTTCTGTTTATCCAGCTTGACTTATCCTGGTCAAATCTCTGGTTGTGATATATTAGCTTGTGAACTACCCAGCAGTTAGCTAAAATCATCTCAGTCGTATCCCCTAGATTCTTCTTGCCGAGGCCTTTTTCTGCAGAAGTTGCCCTGTTACCCCTCCAGCTTTAGGGGTAAATTATCTGCTGGTATAGACCCAATAAAGGCTGTGTTTCCTTCTAATGTGCTGTCTCAAAATGAATGACTAAATGGGGAACTACTTCTTATGGAAATGAATTTTTCTACAAGGAATGACTACAGATATATGCACAATTACATTCGCTGTTTTTTATAAGAGGTATGAGACTACCAAACAAATACTTCATTTTAGGAACTTTCCTACCTTGCTCTGTCGTTCAGCATTTAGAGATTGGTGTAGTCTTTTCTCTTTATCCTATTTTATTTTCATTTCTAAACACAGTGATTTGTTTCTTTGTGGTGTAAATGTTTATTGCGTGTTCCTGCTTTACCTTTCCATCCTCTGCACTTGCTGGGTACACATTCTCCTGCGTTGAGCAGCCTCTCCATACTCTTCAGTAATGGTGGTTTCAGTTCTTCCTCACTTAAAAAGAGTTACAAAGAATTACCTGGCTAACATACTCTATTTTATGCAAGATCCTTTGAAAAATTAAGCTTTAACATTAATAAAATACTTAAATTTCCAGTATAAAACCTAAATTGAGGGTAACTTTTTTTCCAAAAGGAATTTTTGCTTTGTAAAGGGCTTTATTTACCGGTCGGGTGTTTTAAACACTCTGCAGGGCCCTCTGGAAGCCACTCTAATTGCTGCCTGGTGTGGGCCTTGCATTGTCCCAGAAAAGGATTAAGAAGAATTGTTGCATGCCTGAAATCCTCAGGTTTCCAAAAGTACCTTTCGGAATCTTTGGATCTTCTTGAGTTAAGCAGACCTTTTAAAAGAAGTACCATATGCAGGGTGATTTCTTTAACTTAATCCAATTTTGCTATTTTAGAATTTTATAAGACACTCTTTTTTTTTTTTTTTTTGAAAGAGACAGGGACAGTGTGAGTGGGGGAGGGGCAGAGAGAGAGGGAAAGAGAGAGAATCCCAAGCAGGCTCTGCACTGTCAGCACAGAGCCCGATGCGGAGCGCAGACTCCCAAAATCGTGAGATCATAACCTGAGCCGAAACCAATAGTTGGACGCTTAACCGACTGAGCCACCCAAGTGCCCTGTTATTTTAGAATTTTAAAAATTATAATAGTAGTTTCATGTCTCTTCAGCCACATTACGCTCTAAGGTTTTTTGAACTATCTTAGGCAATAATTAATAATGATTAGTAAGAGAAGGAAAATGGATTCCAAATTGCAAATAACTGACTTGATGATAAAGTTTTATAGCAAAATCCTTTGCAAGTTAGAGGACTCTGTACTCTTCTTGCTTACTGAAATGCCTCAATGAAATGTAAATGGAAATAAGAGATGCCGTCTATAGGTGTAAAGGTAAATATTATTCACTGACTTATGAATAATGTGTTAAATATGGTTGCCAAGTTTTATGTATTTCGGACAAAATATGGCAGTCACCACTCTATAACGTTCCCATAATTCTTCTTCCAGTTTTATTGTCCTGAATTCATTTTTCTCTTTCCTCAGAGGATGTACTGAGTAAAGATGCTGGGGAATGTGCAATATGCCTTGAAGAATTGCAGCAGGGAGATACTATAGCACGACTGCCTTGTCTATGCATATATCATAAAGGGTAAGTTTATTTTTATGTTGACCAAGTTGATAGTAAAAAGATGCTTCTCAAAGTTTCAAACATTGTTGTTAGTGCTGAAAAGTTTTCTTCTTAATTGAAACCCCCACCCATTTCTTAAAAAATAACAGCCTTTGTTTCCTGCTAGAACTAAGATTTGAGCCCAAATATGTTTGTATTCAAAAATCTACCATTTGTTAAACGTTTACTGTTACCCAGGCATTGTCCGTAATGGCTTAGCCAGGCTAGCCCATGTACACCTTGTAATAATCTCATGTTAAAATCGAAGGGATAAGCCAAGGGACCATAGGAAATCTCCCCAATGCCATGGCTAGTAAATGGAAGAGCTGAGATTTTAGCCATGCCTATTTGACTCCCAACACCCATCTGGATTCTCATAAAAGATTCTTGGTTTCAGAGCAACACAGGAAAATTGGGGGTAGAAAATTATTTAAAGCAAACACAAAAATCTAGAAAACTATAACTTTCGAACAATAAAAGGAATAAGGTAGAATTTTACTTAAAGGTAGGGGGTGGAGAAAAGCATAGAGAGCACAATAAATTATACAAAATAAAGAGACAAGAATAAATGTACTATCAGCATAATTCTAAATGAAACAAACTCACCAGTGGAAAAGAGCTTGAAAGATCAGGATATGCTGTTGATGAGTAACACTTAAATATAAGGATATAGAAAAATATGAAAGTGAGGGGATACAAAACTGTATCCAGGCAAGTATTAACTACAGGAAAACTGACAAAGCTAGAATAATAGCAGGCAAAATAAATTTTGGCAAAAATATTATTAGTATGATATGATAAAAGTATATATAAAATTCAGTTTTTGGTGAACCTAAGAACAGAGTCTCAAGGTAAAATATTTATAGAACTGTCAGAAAAGAATTGACAAATATGTCATGATAATGGGAGATTTCAATACAGTTCTCATTGTGTCAAGCAGACACAAAATGAGTCAAAACCTAGAAGAATGTAGCAACAGAGTTAACAGGTTTGTCTGATGGATGTGTGTGTATCTGCACCCAGCAATTAGCATCTTTACTTTTCAGGCACTCATTACATATGCAGAGATTGATGGCATACTAGGCCATAAAGCAAGTTTGGCAAACTATGAAAAATTATACCATACAGAAAGCGGTTCTTTGGCCACTCTTAGATGTCAGTAATAAAAGATGAATTATCTTCACACATACTTTTAAGTAACTTGTGGATTAAAGAAGAAATCATAATGGAACTTAGAAACACTTGGAACTGGATAATAATGAAAAGTCTTGCCATTTTTCTAGAGTGATCCATGGAGAGCTTGTGTTAGAGTGGGGGAAAAAAGACTGGAAATCATTAAACCCAATTCTTCCTTAAGAATTTAGAAAAATGAATTAACACTGAATAGAACAAGAAAATAATAAAGGTTAGAGAAGGGAAAAAAAGAAAAAAAAAATACACTAGAGGCCAGCAAAGCCAAAAGTTTGTTTTTTGAAGACTAATGAAATAGATAAGCCTCTGGCAGGATCATCTCTAGGAGGAAAAAATGAACAATATAGGAATGACACATCAGGCATAGTAGAAATAAAAAACAAATGGAAAAATCTGTGAGAAATTTATTTACTCTTCGATTTAAGGAAAACAGGCAATTTCCTTAAGAACATTATTTTATATATTATTATATATTATGTAATATATAAGTATATTTATTATGTTACTAACTATATATCTCAATATATAGTAATTACCAAGATATTTAAAAAAGAAACAGAACACGTGAATTGACTATAATAACTATTATAAGTAATTATCAAGAAAAACTTTTTAAAAAACAACAAATATTAAAAAATAAAACCCCAAAACCTAAAAAGAGGCCTACAAAATTGGTCTGACAGCAGGTTCTACCAGATGTCCAAAGAACACCATGTTAACCATTGTTAAACTCCCCTCAAGGTAGGAAAGGATGGTAGGTTCCCCCACTTATTTTGTAAAAATAGTATAAACTTGATACCAAAATCAGACGAGGAGAGTATAAGAAAGAAAAGTAGAAGGTACTCTCATTTATGAACATAAATCAAAAAAAAAAAAACAAAAACCAAAACATACTAGCAAACCAAATTCATCAATATCTATCTGAAGTAATGCCTCATGACTAAATTAGACTTATGCTAGGAATATAAAGACATTGTAAGATTAGAAAACTTACATATGCAACATATTATGTTAATAAAGGAGAAAGACCATATTATCTCAGTAAATGAGAAAAAATGCATTACAGTTCTATACTTGGGTATTAATGATTTCAAAATAAAAGCAAAGAATAGATGTTAGATAAACTGTTAAAATTGTTAACAGCTTACCAGGGTTTTCAAATATAAGCTCAACATGAATGTTAGTTTCATTGATAACTCAGTAAGAAAAAATAAAAGCTTTTTTTTTTTTAGAATAATATTAACACCCACAGAAACTACAATAGCAGTAAGCTATGTTAAGAATACATCCTACAAAAGATATAAGGATTTTAAAACTTTACTGAAAGATCTAGAAGATCCAAAATGTAGAGGTATATTGTCTTGTGGATAGGAAGACTCAGTGTCATAAAGATGTCACTTAATCCCAAATTAATCTATATAGTTAATATTATCCCGTTCAAATCTCGACTAGTTTTTTCATGTAACTTGACAAGTTGACTCTAAAATACACATGGACCAAAGAGTCCATATGGCAAGAACAGTCATATTCACAAAGAAGAAAACTGCTGGGGGGTGGGAGCTTCCCCTATGCAGATACATTTTAAGACTGTTAATTAAGACATGTGTGGAAAGGACATAGGAATAGAGCCCATAAACACTCACGCATATATGAGAGACATCATAGCACAGGGGTTAAGAGCCTGGACTCTTGGGAGTCAAGCCTTCCTCCCAAGGTTCAAATCCCAGCCCCTCCACTAATTCACTGTGTGATCTTGATCAAGTTACTTAGTTTTTCCCTCCTTCGATCTATAAAATGAGGCGACAGTACCAACTTCATAGAGTTGTTTTGAGGTTTGAAATGAGTTAAATTTTAGAAAGTCTGGCACATGATGGATAGTATGTAAATATTTGTTAAGTAAATGAAAAAATTAAAAAATTGATTTGGCAGTGGTGGTATTCTAGCAGTAGAGAAAGAATGAACTATTCAAAGAATGGTACTGAGATCACTTGGTTATTGTAGAAAAACAGTTGAATCTTTATATTTGAAATAGGAATCAATTCCCGATTGAACATATGCCTATGGAAACCAAAAAAAAACTCTTACAAGTGTTGGAAAGAATGTAGAGAAATGTTCTTGGCCTCTTTGGGGGCTACAATGCAAGCCTTCCCCCAACCCCCTATAAAAACTTGAAGGAAAAGTTGATCAATGATCTGAACTGAACCCCCAAAATTGAAGTGTGCCTGCTCTTATAAGGATACCCATCCACTGAATGTTTTTACACCCAGTTCAGTTAGGCCACGGGCTTTATTTTTAAAGTACTTGCTTGCTTCATTCATGGTTCTCAAATTTGGACCATATTAACATTTTAAAACTTTTTTTGCATCGTGATACTGTGAAAAAGTAAAAGAAAACTAGACCTCAGGCTGAGGGTTTTTTTTGTTTTTTTATAATACACAAACAACAGTTGTTGTAGTATCTGAAACAATACTCTCCTTCAGCAACTTTCTGTAATGCAGTTAGCGCGTTGCAGTTGGTAAGTGGAAGAAACGGTGACGGTACAATGAGATGATCTTACTGGTTCATCCATAGTATTTCTCAGCACATCAGTGTTTTGCTCCAGCAAATAAAAGCAGATGAAAGCATATGTGGAAGCAAGCCATGGGAGAATACGATGCAGGTATACCGTGTTTCGTTGCACTTCGTTTTATTGCGCTTCACAAATACTGTGTTGTTTTACTAATTGAAGGTTTGTGGCAGCCCTGTGGAGCAAGTCTGTGGGCACCATTTTTCCAGCAGCATCTGTATACTTCGTGTCTGTGTCACATTTTGGTAAATCTCAGAGTATTTCATACTTTCATTATTTATTTGTTACGGTGATCTGTGATCATGACTCACTAAAAACTCAGATGGTAGTTAGCCTTTTTTAGCAATAAAGTATTTTTTAATTAAGGTAAAGTGTGGACATAACTTTGATATGCACTGGGAAACCAGAAAAACTATTTGACTCTTTTTATTGCGATATTCACTTTATTGCAGAGGTCTGGAACCGAACCCCCATATATGAGGTGTGCCTGCTGTTATAAAGATACCCATCCACTGAATGTTTTTATACCCAGTTCAGTTAGGCCATGGGCTTTATTTTGGAAATACTTGCTTCATTCATAGTTTGTGCATTGGGCTTTTGTCTCCATATTAATCCTTCCTTAGTCCTCTTAGGTCAAAGTTTACACCTTCGGGAAAAAATCCTGTATTTATAGTGGTATTTTAATTATTTGGAGCAAACACATCTTTGTTCTAGTTACCAGGTTGTATTGTTTGAGTGGTCTGCCTTTAACATTTTTCCCATAAGCCCTGTTACTTTTAGTGTATGATTTTGTAGACAGCAAGGACCATCAAAAATGTGTATACTATATTATAGCTGAAGTATCTGGATGATAACTTCCTGCAAACCTATAAGAAAAAGACAAAACAGAAAATTTGGCAAAAGTCACCAGTCAATTCGGGGAAAAAAAGAGCCCCAAGTGCCAGTAAACATCCAGATGTAAGTTGGTGTACTTACTTGGTGGATAGCTGTGTAAGAGCTCTGTGCTGTCTACATCCTACAACTCCGTAATTCCACTCCTGAGACCAGGCCTCCGGGGAGTCTGTCCGTGAAAGAATGGATACATACACTGCAATATGCTTATGTTAATGGAATATTATACACAACAAAAATGTAAAAACCAGAGCCTTATTAGCAGTTGTAAATCTCAGGTTGAAAAACACAGTTAGAAAAAGCATACTTGACGGTAGCATTTGTATAAAATTTGGAACACAGAAACAATACTATATGTTGTTTTGGAATATGTACTTATGTAGTGATAGGTTAAGAAAATGTCCAAGAATGAGAAACACCAAATTCAGAGTAATGGTTTCCTGCTGGAGTTGGGAGAAGGGATTATAATATTTCAAATAACATGGGTTGATAGCAGTTTACATGAGAAGGACCCTGGGTTTTAAATGATTAATTTCTTAGTATGAGCCGAAATTACATGGCTGTAAAATAAGAAGTGCCCATTTTAAATCACATAGGTACCGTGAATTGTTAATTCATGTGGAGTATTTTGTTCAGTGCTTCATTTAAAGGGGTATTCCAGTAGACCAGGGGACTGCTGGAGCCAAGTAAGTAGGATAGAAAGCAGGCTGAAAACCATGTCAGAAGCCAATTGGGGCAAGGTTATTTAGACAGCAGAAGTCTTAGTGGCAACAGAAATTAGTGGTTGAAAGAATATTATATGGATGAAATACTTTATCTTTTTTCCGTTCAGTTTTGTCCATTATTTTTACTTACCAAATTATCCTGTCAGGATATGAGAGTGATAAATACTAATTTTGCCTGTAAGCATATTTACCAAGCCTGCTAGCTTTGTGGCGTGTGCCAATTTGACACATCAGTGGGAGTGTTGAGCAGTTTGAATTCTGCTTGGGTAACTTCCTAGCTGCTGGGCAAGTTACTTAGCCTTATCGAAGGCTTTACCATTTATCACAGTGAAAAAGAACTTTCTGCAGTGATGGAAATGTTTTGTATCTGTGCTAATAGAGGGGCAAATAGCCACGTGGCTTTTGAGTGCTTGAAATGTGGTCGTACGACTGAGGAATTGCATTTTTCTCTTATTTAATTGTAATGAATTTAAATAGCCACATGTGGCTTGTGGCTACTGCAATGAACAATGCAGATTACAGTGAGGATAATTATATGCACCCTAGTATTTAACTTCCAATAAAATCATGAAATACTTTATAAATACCAAGTGGATGATGGTATATTTACTTGTGTATGTGTATGTATTGTGTAGGGTGGGATAGAATTAAAATAAGTATTCAATACTCACATAATAAAGATAGTCTTTTAAAAGGTGATTCAGGGGCACCTGGGTGGCTCAGTCGGTTGAGTGTCCGACTTTGGCTCAGGTTATGATCTCACAGTTCACGAGTTGGAGCCCCGTGTCGGGCTCTGTGCTTACAGCCCAGAACCTGGAGCCTGCTTCAGCCTGCTCCCTCTCTTTGCCCATCCCCCGCTTGCGCACGCTCGCTCGCTCTCTCTCTCTCTGTCTCTGAAAAATGGATAAACACTGAATAAAAGATTTGAGAGGTGATGCAGTATTGTCCAGAATTAGAATTTAAAAGCTGCTTTTGATTACATTGATCGGTGGCATGAACAGAATAATACTTGTGTGAATGAATGACTATTTTGGAGAGAGAAATATCTGTCCAGATTTGTCACTTAATTTTGAATACTGGTAAAGTAGTGGTTCTTCAGATTTGCTTTTGGTGTGATGGTTGTTCTATTTAAACTTGAAAGTACTTTATAGTATAATTTTGCAAAGATTATTTCCTTAACTTCTTTGAGTAATCAAAATGTGGGGCGCCTGGCTGGGTCAATCGGAAGAGCATGCCTCTCTTGATCTCTGGATCATGAGTTTGAGCCCCACGTTGCGTGTAGAGATTACTTTAAAAAAAATCAATAAACTTAAAAGGTAAGTAAATAATCAAAATGTAGTAAACAGATCCTTATCTTTTACTTAGATATGCCAAATATGATCATTTAAAATACTGATTTTTTTTCCTGAAAAGATTCATTAAAGTCAGGAAGCAAGAATTTTTTATTACAGCTGTCATGATATAAATAAGCATAAGTGTTTCAGTTTTTCTGATTTTGTTCTTTTCTAGCTGCATAGATGAATGGTTTGAAGTAAATAGATCTTGCCCGGAGCACCCTTCAGACTAAGCATCAGCTTCCTGTTTTATAGGTAACTCTCCCTTTTTCTGTTCTAATTGGCTTTTTAATTGTTACCTGAGTTATACATTCTCTGCCACCATTTTTATTCATTTATTGAAGCGTGTGTGTGTGCGTGCGTGTATGTATCCCAGACATTGTGTTTGGCTACTATATAGAAAACTCACATGAAAAGATATGTAGAAAACAACTTTGCTGATTCCTGAAAAGAGTCATACATTGAGTAACTTCCCCATTCTTGGTACTTTAAAATACATTGACTTGTTTAATTTTAGTTTAGTGCTTAAACCCAGGAATTCTATGGTCGATATATTACTTCATACATGTACTACATATTAGTACACATTACCCCATTTTACCCCTGAAAACCTCAAGGCCTAAGTATTTAATTTCATGACTTTAAGAAGCAATATGCATAATAGTCAAAGGTCATGTATTTAGCAAACAGAATCAAATTCTGTACTCTTATCCCTCACTTTACAAGTATATTCTTGGGTAATGCAATATATTGTAATTCTAATCATAATAATTAATTAGCATTTATGTTGCATTATGTGCCAGGCATTGTTCCAAGCATTTTACATCTACTAATAACTCATCTAATTGTTGGAACAACCCTTTGAACTCAGGACTCTTGCTATTCCCATCATATAGATGAGGAAACAGTTAAAGAGAGGTTAAGAAACCTGACCTGTCAAGCCTAATTCCTCGGTAGAACTGGGATTTGAACCTAGGCATATTATCTCCAAAGGTTGTGTTCTTAGCTATTTTGCTGCTATTAGGTAGGAGCGTTTTCTTCAAAAAGTTGCATCATGCATTCATTCATTCAGTTCAATCTTTCACCTTAGTATCCTCAGCATATAATAAAGTGCCTGTCCGTACAGTAGGAGGAAAAAAGAAAAAAAATTGAATTTTAAACCAAATACAGAATTTGTTTTGGTCTGCTGATATAGCTTATTCATTATTCTGCATTATCTAAAAATGTTCAGTGAATTGAATGATAACCTCACTTGACTATTGCTTTTTTCCACATTCTGTGAAGTGTGTTCATTTACTTTGAAAAAAATAGTTAACTTAAATGTAATCTTCGTATATGTGAAAAGCTTTTTATGAGAAGACTTGGAAAAATGACATAAAGCATTGGGATTTTACATCAAGGCATAACATGTTAGCGGATCCTGGAATCGTTTCAGGAGTTGGAGCCTCTGTGTTCAGAGGTTTAAGGTAGCAGTTGACAACAGTCTTTCCTGAATGGTTAAGACCAAAGACAGGAAACTGGAGCAGAAAGTTGCTCTTAATGATGATGATTTAATAGCAGATTAGAATATTGACAGGAGATTTGAGGTAACTTAATAGCCACCATAGCAACCAAAGAAAGAACTGCAACATTAATTGAGGCCTCTGTCACAATTACAGTAGGGGATGGGTGTGAAATGTGAAAGCCTTGGTGAACTGTAGGGTACTAGAGGACTGTCAGCTTTTGAACCTTCTACTGTGAGCTGATTCAGACCACTTTGACACATTTGAAATATGAATTGGGATAAGATGGCCATGTAAAGAAAGTGTGGTGATAGAGTGACATTTTGAGTATATGTGCATAAATGTTTTTATTTGGCTGTGAAAAGGTTTTTTGAAGAGGAAGATGCTTTGAAATATCCTCAGTGTAACCTTATGTCTGGGCCAATAAACTAAAACTATAGCTAAAACTGTAGCAGCATTTTAACAGAAGTACTAAAAACCAATGCTAATAAAATGAAATTTTTATCATAGTGTTTTACGTACCAAGGTAGTATGTCTAAATTTTTCACCTGTGGGTAAAATTAGTCTTCTATAGGCAGTAAACTTTTCTGTGTGAGGTTGAATTTTATGGTTAAAAATGTTATTTTATAAAAAAGTTTTGGAGCACCTGGGTGGCTCAGTCAGTTAAGCGACCATCTCTTGATTTTAGCTCAGGTCATGATCTCATAGTTCCTGAGATTGAATCCGCATCAGGCTCTGCACTGACAGCACAGGGCCTGCTTGGGATTCTCTCTCTCCCTCTCTCTCTGCCCACCCCCCCACTCACATTCTCTTTCTCTCTCTCTTTCAAAATAAATAAACTCTAAAAAGTAAATAAAATTTAAAAGTTATTTCATGATCTGATCAGCTAAATTCCTTTAGTGTCACAGTGAGTTATGGGGTATAAGGAACATGCGTCTCATCTCATAGTCATTATGCATATTGGTCTTAAACAGCATTTCAGTTTCATTACCTATGTATTGGTGTTATCTTTTCATTGTTTCTGTTTTTGTTTTTGTTTTTTTTCTTTTTGTGTATAGAACCTGAGTTTGGTAACAGCTACTTTAGAAATCAATGGAATCTGTCTCTGTGGGTCTTGAGTCATTTTTAAGAATGTATAGACATGGAATGTCTTGATTCTTTTATATTTTTGCTCCTGTTCTAACCGCTCTTATTTGTCACATGATAAATTCCTCCTATCCCATTTGCTGTCCCAGATTAAACATACAGGTTTTGTTTTTTGTTTTGTTTTTTAAGTATTTTTTAAGTTTATTTATTTCGAGAGAGAGAGAGAGGGGCAGAACAAGAATCCCAAACAGGCTCTGTGCTTAGTGCAGAGCTGGACACAGGGCTTGAACTCATGAACCATGAGAACGTGACCTGAGCTGAAACCAAGAGTTGGATGCTCATCCAACTGAACCATCCAGGAGCCCCTAAATGTATGGGTTTGAGAAGTATTTCTTGTTAAGACATTTAAAAAAAATGTAGCAACACTTGCAACATTTCTGATATTTTTTAGCATAAGAATTTAATGGATGGCCCAAAAGAGATACAGGACTGTCTAAGGTTTTGATTAGTCAGGAAACTGTTTACCATTTTTATTTGGTGATTTTAATTATATGGGGGATGGGGCGCCTGGATGGCGCAGTCGGTTGAGCGTCCGACTTCAGCCAGGTCACGATCTCACGGTCCGTGAGTTCGAGCCCCGCGTCAGGCTCTGGTCTGATGGCTCGGAGCCTGGAGCCTGTTTCCGATTCTGTGTCTCCCTCTCTCTCTGCCCCTCCCCCCGTTCATGCTCTGTCTCTCTCTGTCCCCAAAAAAATAAACGTTGAAAAAAAAATTAAAAAAAAAAATTATATGGGGGAAGGTTAATAGGTATGCATAGGTATTGTGTGTGTGTGTGTGTGTGTGTGTGTGTGTGTGTGTGTGTGTGTGT